CCCAGAAAGCCCAGACATCATTTGTCTTTTTCACCTGCTTTCAGAGTGAAGAAGTGCTAGCCTAGGCAAAACATACAAGGCTAAACTGAGGGCTGTTTAGACTCTGTGTCCATGTCCCTTGATGGCTCTGCTCACAAAATGTGTATGGAGAGACCATTTCAGTGTTATTGTAAAATTAGGGTAGAATGCCTGTGGCAATGCCCTTCCCACCAAAACTATGCATACCAAATACACAAAGCAAACAATAAGAAAACAATGGCACAGATCAGTATTTCCACAAGAAAACAGCAGATTCTTAAGGGAAAAAACGTTCTGAATAAAGAATACCTGCCCACAAAGCAAAATTGTTCATGCACTTTAACACTCTGCAAGTTACTGCACACTCCAGAATATTCCAGTTTAGTGGGAGGTTTTTTTAAGCATAAAAACTACTGCAGATTCAGTTGCAAGTAGGGAACTATTTCACATAGACATAAATGACAGGGAGCCTTTTATTCCAACTACTGCATCTGGATTCTAGCCAATCCCTCAATGAAACGTATAATTGGATAAATGTAGGTTATGGCATTAGTAGTATTCAAGTGCCTCTATTCTATTTGAAAAGGAAACAGTTTTTCTGACCTTTAAATCTCACTACAAATAAAGGAGCAATTATTTCTCAATAAGTGCATCTGTTGAAAATTAAATTAAATTAAAGAAAAAAATCAGTTACTATTTTTCCTAGCTTTCATAAACGCTCCTAACTTGTCAGCTTCCTGAGGATCTGCCAAACCACCTTGTCTTGTGTCTATCCTTCACACTGTGAGACTCCCAGAGGTGAGGCTCTCTCTTCATAAGTGGGGGAGGAAACATGCTTGGAAGTGTAAACTCTGGCAAATTTTTCATGTAAAAAGCAACAGAGAGGCGATCTTTTTCAAAGCTGTGCTTAGAAAGCCTTTTTAAGAAGCATAACAAAAAAGGTGCATTATCGTATTATTGGCTGAAATTTTATCCAGCAAGTAGGGGGTTTTCATAAAATATAAAAGTTCTTGTAGTTACTGAAATCACAGAAACTGAGCTGCAAACAACTGCCTCTCACGTATCCATCCCTGACGTGGAGGTAAAAAGGCACCCTTTCCAGCACATTAATTTACTGGCATACTTTTTCACATTTCTAGACTAGCCCTTGTTACTCTGATGACATGTTTAAGCAGCCCTTTCCTCTCTGATCTATGCAGCAGATAATTTTTGCACAGCCTGTTTTCACTCTGCGCTCAGCATGCCCACTGGCTCTGCAGGAGTTCTGCTCGGGAAGTGAGAAGGAAAGCATGCACTACAGATCCACTCAGCAGACACCAGCCCATGTCTGTCTTGGAAAAAGGCATTAGGCTGAGGATTTTTGTGGGGCGTTTTCTTTTCTTTTTTTTTTTTTTTTTAATGATGAAACTGAAAGTTTTTTCACTCCTTGGTAGAACTACTTTAATTTAAACTTGAATTCTGGACATACAGGAATAATTTCACTCATTTTATTGCTGTCTAGGTTCAAGAAACTTTTTAATTTTCTTTTTTTTAATCAGGAAATTTAGTTTGTCACTTCTCTTTGTAATGAAAATCCTTCAACCACTCTAAGTCTGCACAAAAACTGTAAAGCTGGAGTGAACTTCTGACACCATTACAGAATACTGAAATCAATGCTGTAATCCTTTAAAATATCCCACTCAAATGTATATTTTCTATATTATATATTCAATTAATACATACAACTTATATATGCATATATATATACACATACATATATAATGTTAATGAAAATTATTGAGCCACTTTAATTTTCCACTTTCAGAGGAAAATAATATTTTATTTTAATAAAATATTTTCTTTAAAAGGGCAAACCATGGCAGCATCGAAACCTACCCACTGGAGAAAATCAGAATCAACAGCTGAGCACTGGCCACCACGAACACCAGCACTATGTGCAGCACTGAGGGGGCTCAGTGACACAGACAGAATTATTTGGTCATGTATTGCTCAGCAATCAGATGCAAGCACACCAGAATCTTTTCTTCATGGCTACGTTGCTTTCACCAATACAAATTTTTTGGAACAAAGCATCTATCTGTGCTGTAAAATCACTATATGAGAAAAGGTAAGGAGAACAGCATAAATTTACATGCACACATGAAACTTCTTGTTCCTCCAACATCTCAAAGCCTAAAAATCAGAAGGATAACTTTAAAAAACAGACTCCTGTGCTCTGCTATGTTTTGGATTAAAGGAGCTCGAGAGGACAGTAAAGAAGTTAGCTATCAGAATCTTTTGCCAAATACAACTTACTCTGAGTGAAGATATGTATTTCAAAAAATCTGTTTCCAAGTCCCAAGTTAGGCTGAAAAATAAAATTAATTTAAATATCTTAATCAGCAGTGCTGCATCACTCCCTGAGGAGAAGCTGCCACATTCCAGTGCAGCTGGAATTCAAGTGGCGGCCCCAATCGAGGGGTTATTGCAGGTCACAACACAGAGTCACTGGAAAAACAAAGAAAAACCCGTGAATCCTCCTGGGCTCAACTTTCTTTTTACCCTGGTATTGGTGATGTTTTAGCAGATGACCTTGTCACTATATTTTATATAATATCTCTGTTATTGTCCACCTCTCACCAGTACCATATTTTTCTAAATAATTTTATTTCCAACAGTTTTACTTCAAACTGAGAATACAAAACAGAATACAAAAAGAAAGGAGGGAATGAATTGATATTTCACCTGTAGCATCAAGCAAGAAATAAAAAATTCCCAGACAACCTGTTGTTTAATACAATGCACTAGAAACCAAGCACAGATAAATATTAGGTCACTAATTTTTTACAGTCTCTGAGCTTTGGGTACTGGCCCAACACACCTCTGGAATAGCAAGCCACAAGTGCTAGGTCCCTGTGGTTTGCAGTGACTACAACGGGTGCAGGGCGCTCAACACTTCCCAAGACTAAAAGTTAAGTTACAGACCTCCTGTTGGAATATACACTTCAAGTCAATAGCCATCCAAACTTACCTGCTTATCCCTGAAATGCCATATAGGAATAAACAGTTGTACAGTTTCAGGAATGTTCTAAGTCTTCGTTAGCAACAGCAACCCTTCCTTGAGGGTGCTAGCAAAAGCTTTATTATAGCAGTAAGAGATTAAAGATAAGAAAATAAAATAGGAAAATTAAGACTTATTTAGTATTTTTCTTAATGACCTCTAGATATTATACATATAATCTTTAAACATGATTTAGATTTCTTCAAAAACTTCCCAAGCACTTGAAACACTGTTTTTGAGAAGGTCTCTGTAAAACACAAATTCCATGTGAAAATAACTGGACTGTGGAAAGATTAGAGCCAGCAGACAGTCCTGAATGAATATCATATAGGAACAGAAAATACTCTTAAAAACACTTGTCAGTATTGGTTTAATTATGCTAACAAAATCATGACACAGGCTTAATATTTTTACAGTAACAAATACATGTAGGTAAGATTTGAAAAGTTCCATGAAATGTGCTTACAGAAATCCCATGTGGAACATCTACTATCCAAACGTTTGTTATTGCTGCTGAAGAACTAGTAAAAATATCAGAAAGTAAAAAAAGAAATAGCAACTGCTTGTTGCAATTATAATGTCCCATTCAGATTTTTAACTAAAAGCAAGTTGATTTGGTTCTGATCTCTGTTATACCCACACAACTACAACTTCCCCAGAAGTGTGCATCCACTCCTACTGGCAACTCTGTAAATCTGATTAAAATCTGGGCCAATATGTGCAGTAATTTAAACATTCGTGTTAGATCAAGTAAACCCCATGCAATAACCGCCCATGTATAGTTAATATTCTATCCATACATCTTTTCTTGATGAATGTTCAATGACTATAGGTATAAGATCTGAGAAATAATTTGTTCTTTTAGGTCAACTCACATGAGAGCTTGGCAATGGGATAAATGTGTTGAATCTTCTTTCCTAGAGTACCTCTCCCCACTTAAAAAAAAAAAAAACTTTTTAAAAATAATCATTTTTTAAAATAATGTTTTCTTATTCTGATATTGCAGCACATGAAATGGAAAACTGACCATCAGCTGAGTAAATAAAGCAAAAGTCAGGAAAAAATACAAGTTAAAGACTAGACAATCAAAAACCTGTAATGAATTGTTACTATCCTCTCAAACTCAAACCAGCTGCATTACCCTCCCCCCATCACTCTGAGGTTTCACAATCTAGTAGCTGCTATAGCAAACTCCTGAACGCCTCCACTTTTACTCCCACCAAGCCTTCACCAGGGGCTGCCATCCTTCCTCATTTAATTACATTTCTTAACTAGAAGAGATGAACGTTTGCTGTGTGGTTACCATTTTCCCAGACAAGAATCAGGCAGACCTGAGCAGACTAGTGCTGATGTCCTGATCCAGCAGAGCACTTGTGCAATTCCAGCCTTCAACCAAACCAGGGGTCCAGCCAACAGACAGCCCCAGGGCAAAAACTGACTAATGGGATGCTTCAGTGAGTCAGGACTCTGAGTCAGGCAGGCTGCAAGCTCCTGCAATCTGCACTGAGATAACAGAGGCCACGATTTACATAACTCTATGAAACAGCTAGACTCTGTCTGTGCGTGTGTGTGAAGAAAAATTAAATTATTATACATATTTCACACCCTCTCTAATACAGTCCCATCAGTAAATACTAAACTTTTCATGTTTGGTTGCTTTTTTCGTTTGACACACGTCTTATCAGACACACAGCTACACAATATCTATGTACATTTCTTTATTAGGCAGAACATTCCCAGGAAATTTAATAAGATGCAAGAGTTTATTTTGAAATCAAATTGCAACAATATATAATAATGACAATAATAATTACCTCTAAAGAAAAAAATCAACTTATGGAACATTTTCAATTATGATAATTTATTCCCATCAGGTTGCTTGATATGATACTGCATCAGTGTAGTAACACTGATAGAGTTTAGCTACACTTACAGAAAACAGTTGTGCAGAGAAGCATATTGTCGCTCTCACCTCAAATCTCAATGTTCATTTGATCTGAAAAAAAGAAAAGAAAAAGGTGCTGAGCTGCTGTAAGCACATTATTTGCAAGAAGAAAATATAATAGCGGTTTGTGATACAACTTCTACTTAAAACTTAATATAGCCCCTCGAAATAGAGCTGGAAATAATTATTTTTGGCTCATACAACTATGAGATATAACAGCCTTTTCATATCTGCATGTGGGCAAGTCTGAATTCTGTTAACCTCAGTAAACATCATCTATGTTTACGTACATATGAGCTCGGTATAGATTAGTGTTTCTTTCAAGAAACAGGAAATACTTATCTTTGAAGGCACACGAGAGTTTCCTTCATATATATACATATATATGCATTATGCTGATAATTATGCTTTCCTTAAAATATATATATTTTAATGTATTACAGTAAATCTATATCACAGACTACAGTACCAGAAGGAATGGAAAACTGAAATTGTGCTAAACCAGTTTCACACTATTTTATTTGCTTAACCAGCACTACAAAGAATTTAAACCATATGTAGAGTGGGAAAGAAAATCAAATTACTTACAGAAGATTATGCATACATATTTAAATGTCCTTTAGAATTAAGACAATAACAAAAGTCAACTATGTAACATATCTTACAAATTAAAATAACACCTGACACTTCTCATATCTTCATCTGCAGATGCATTTGTCTTAAACTGGATTGCACTGGGATCTCCATTTCTCAATACAATTAGCATATTTAATCATGTCTGAACTAACAAGCAAATTATCTACAGAATACGTTAAGCAAGTTTACAAATTTGATAAATAACACTCCCTTTGGCCTATGTCCAGGACTAATTGCTTCAGACAGACTGAGTCACCTTTGTAGGAAACCGATTAATTAGCTTCTTAGTAAAAAAATGAAAAAAATCAGGGACTGAAAATTCAGAATACTTCCCCTCTCAAAAAAAAGATTTGGTAAGCAAAAACATCATAAAACTGAGATGCTTATTAACCATACAGATTTGAGTTTTACACGATTAAACATTAATCATAATCTGTTTCAGTCACTATTGAAAACAGATAATTGAAATATCCCATTACATTACTCTGACACAGATGATTTTGACTCAAAGATATTTAAATTATTATGCGATAAATGTTAACAGCTTTTAGACTTCTACAATGAGATGTCCCATATGGAAATTCAATTAATAGTGACAATCTCCTTCTTTTCTTGTGCAATAAAATTACCTCATGGTGACTAGATCTACAGTTCCCTGCTCACTTCACTACCCAGTGGTCACAGAACACGGTGATTTCCTTGATTTAACACATCCCCTCTTAAAACACACTCACCATGGGAGCTGGGGCGAGGTCTCACTTGGCTCTACCGTGCTACATCAATTCGGATAAAGGAGAATTTTAACTCGGCTGAAGGCAGCAAGTTACTGAGTTTTTCTCGCTGCTGGCAGCCAAAGGAGCCTGGTGGTGTGGCATGCCATCATGTTAGTCCTGCCTGAGCTCAGGCTGCCCCTGGCAGAGCTGATCCCTGTGGTGCTCCCCGTGACCACCCCTGCCACCCTGCTCCTCTGATGCCTGCACCTGCATGGACACCAAAGACAGCTTGTGTAACCCACCAGGAAAAAAGGGCACCAAAACCACCCAACCTTTTCTACAGGAACTGTTTCTGTTCTCTTCTAATAGCAGCTATCGCTTAAATCTCATAAGGGGAAAATAGTGCAGGTAAGTATGGATATCGACTTTGTCTGGAAGTGTATAAACAGCAATAACAAGACTTCCTGCATTCTGACAGGCAGAATGGCTTTGAAAAAATATTAACATTCCCCTCAGTGCAGAAAGATTAAGTACAAACAATCAAAGAAAGTGTTGTGATCATAAATAAAAAATTAAAACATAGCAGAGGGATATTAGAATGTTTTTCTAAATTACTAATGTATGTGAAAAAAACAGTGTCTCTAAATCCAGAACAGATTACCAGTACAACAAAGGTAATCGACCAACATAGCAAAAGATACTGATTTCCATAAGATTAGATTCTAGCACTATAATCACAACCTTCATAGTGTCAAAACTGCTATGAAAAATGAAAGGTTTACTGCCTAAAATGTGGCTCATTTGAACAGTTGGCCTTCCAGGAAGAGAACTAGTTTTAGGTTAAAAATCTAAACATATTTAGATTACAATATCACTGTGTAATTACATATAAGTAAAAAACAAAAACAAGAGACATTTCCACAATCTTTTTATAGTACCAGACAGAAAGAAAATTTAATTTTTTGCTGGTTAAAGTCTATTTTTTTACGAAAGTAAAAGTAATTTATAGAAATCATTCAGTATTATTAATTTTTATATCTTAAGTGTATAAATTTGAACTCTCTAAAAGGAGTTTATTATCTTTAATATAGCCAGAACATGTGTTTTTTTAATATGACTGAGTCTACCCTATTAAAAACTTTAATGAAACACTTGGATTTTCATGTGAATTTTTGTACCAGCTACTGCAAGAATATTTGCTCTCCACAGAACAGTGAACATGAATTTCTACTCCCAAAAAGGTAATCCATATGTGTTTTCAACACTGTTTTCCAGTTGACAGAATTAATCAACATCAGTGATATATTTCATAAAACTCCTAGTCAATTATTGCAGGGTAAGAATTTTAATAAACATTCTGTTATTTTGTGTATATTACTTTTGGCACAGTTTTATGTTTTCTGAAAGAACATTCTTGTCCCCCCCATAATAATCAGTGTGTATTGGTGCATACCTTTGGTGAGAACCTGCTTAGGTTTTTTCATTATAATCAAAAGCCTATTCTAAAGGATTGTTAAGAGTCTCACCTCCTTTGGTTTGCAGTGGTATGCTGAGAATGTCAGCCTCTGTGGATGGCTCATTGTTCATGCTGATGCAATATAATGGTTCACCCAAGAAAGAAGGTTTCTTCAATCTTTTTGTGTTGAGTGCTCTTGACATAAAGTAACCTTCAGTAATACTCTTATCTTCCATCTTCTGTAAACCTTCTAGGTCATCAGGTTCCTCTGTTTGGGCCAGTGAATCCTTTGATAAGTGACTACCAGCCAATGCTTTGCTGATATAGTAGCCAGGGATTTTGCTCTCTGCATTAACACACAAGCTTTTGTCTTCGAGTCCAGCCTTTTCCTGAGCCATTAACATCCCTACAATATGGTCTTCAACTAACATTTTGGAAAGACTAGATGTGGAGTGAAGAGTGGAGTCTTGACTTGTGTAACAAGGGGGACTTAATCCAAAAGAAAGAGATTCCTGAGACTGTGGCATGGTAACGTTACTTATTGTTCTCTGAGGCTGCATACATTCTTCCAGAAGGGTCTTAAGCTGCTCTTCAGAGAGGCTCGTTTGTTCTTCAGTCTGAAAAAAAAAAAGGCGAGAATTTCTTCTGTCAAAATATAATTAATGAAAAGCAGTGCCATAAAACAGCTTGAGAGATACATTGGCAGAATCCTTAAACAAATATCAATGTTTTTCAATTCAAAAAATTTAAATATACATTTCCATAATCACAAAATCTTTGCAGCATCCTCACTAGGTTCTAGATAGATTCTGTGATGAAAGTTAGGAAAGAAGTCTGATGTCCACAAAGCTCTGAGAGGCCTATGATTTTGCACAGTCTTCCTTGAGATCTGACTGGTTTTTAATTACCAGAGCATGCACTTTTTCATATTTCTTCGTTTGCTGTGAATACATACAGACACACACACAGACACACAGACACATACTCTAAGATTTTAGTTATTGAAAGCAAAATATCACGTTGATAAAAGGCTGTTGGGGCAATGCAGATGGGGTTAGAAATGGTTTTGGACAGCACCAGCCCACAAAGAATGTCACATACTGACTGAAATATTCCCAATAGGAATATTCTGAAATATTCTTATGGTAGAAATGCCACACAGTCTCTCTCAACCATGTGGCACAAAGCACATCAGTTACCTACCACGGCAAGCATGACCCATGGCATGTGACAGAAGAAAGGTCTTGTCGTGTTTTGTAGGACAGTTTTAGTGCTTCCTTCAAGCTGTCACTGCTTGCACAGTTTGCAGATGCACCTTTTCAGTTCATTTCTTATTCAGAGACTAGCACACTCCCATCATATTTATCACACAGGCCTCCTTTATTGGACATTTTTAAAAATTTAATATTAAAGATAATGACTGATATTAGCTGGTTATGGTGAAGAACAGCAGAGGAAATTTTGCTTTAAAAGATTAGCAATAGGGAGTTACTTCCCGCTTTTACAATCCTTAATGCTCCTGAAAATAGAGTAGCAAGATATTCCCTGACAATTTAAAGATAATGATGAGGACAAGACTATTTTTAGATATGTTTATTTTTAGATAATACATTTTCCCATTAAATAAGAGCTATAGAATATATCATAATATATATTTAAAATGTTGGAAATGCTATGCAACATTTATTAGAGAAAAATGGTCAAAATCTCAGTTTTACCCAATCTCCAAGACACAAAGGATCAGCTGACACACTAATGAACCCTTAGGCTATAGCGATTTATGTAAAACACAATTTTTATTCATTATGTAATGACTTCTACATCGAATTTATTTTACATTGTGCTAGAGGATGGAGCTACTGTCATTTCAGAGGAGAGATCAATATTAGATGTTTAGCTGATATTTTTTTCCATGAATGACTCTGATGCAGCTACAGGAGTCATATATTATCCTGTTTGATATATATAACATGACTCAGTTATAGCCAAGGTACCACAGGGCGTATGGATTACACCTGAAAACTGATTATTCATGTTCATCAAAGGAGACAGTTTTCAGTTAGGAAGGAAAGAAATTTTCTTCAAAAAACTTGTGGCTGTGAAAAATTACAAGATGACACTAGAAGGCGAAAAAGAATGGCATTTTAAGCTACCTTCAGTCACCATTCTGTACTTACATATTCAAACATGAACAATGGCTAATAATGGCTGCTACAGGCCAAATACTGTACAGTCCAGGCACTAACTGATGTGCACAAACTCAGCTCTATAGAATTAGTTAACCCAGTAGTCTTTTCCTGCAGATATCTATTTCCTTCCCAAAAATACTCCAAGTTTCTTTCTTAAACACAAAACAGAAAGCAACTGCATTAAAGAAATTAAGATATTAAGGGCTTTGAAACAAGAAAAAAAAAAAAAAAAGACCATTGACAGACTATCATTATGGGTAGAGATCTTTATTTAAATGAACACATAATCAGGTAATTATATGGAGATTCAAGTAATCATGATATCAATCTATGTATTTTTGATAGTATTAACTGAAATTAAACCACAAGCTTAAGTGCTTTTATAGAAAACATGCAAAATGTTACAATATCTTCAAACTTTACTTGGTCTTCTAATTTTTAATCCTAGTGCAGAAGGCACTCACTGATGAAAATTAACTCAGGGAAAAATAATTAGTAGCAATACACTATGATGAATTAAAAATGAAACATAATTTTTTTCAAATTTTCACTTTTAATCTAAACCATTGGCCCATGCTGAAGTCCTTAAATTTCTTGAAAAAGTATTTTAATTTGCAGGATAACATTTGTTTCCAAGCAGTGATTATCAGAATGGACTCACTGTAAGAAACAAGATGCATTCACAAGAAAGAGCATAACACAAGAGACCACTACTGGAAGCAGAGCTGCATCGAGGGTACATCCACACAGCAGATTATACTGTGTAAACATAACTATATTTGCAACACAGAAGATCCTCACATCTGGAAACCCACATGGATTCCCACATGGAAATGAGTGTGTGGTTCTACACTAACATATTTCAAAGCTCTTGGCCAGGATCATTTGGAGCTAATTTTATGTTAATGACAGGGCAATTCACTCACTGCAGAAAGGAATTATGTATATGAAGCAAATGAATGATCAGTACAAAATTAACATTGTGAGGAACATCATCTTGTCCTGCTTTTCCTTGGTTCTTTTCTTTCCCCTATTCCCACCCCATTTATCTGCAGTCCATTTTCCCTCAGCCAAACTTTTTTCTTCCTTTTTTATTTTTTTCTTTCAGGAAGATCATATGGCTTGTATTCATAGATTACCTTGATTATTACCAGAGGGGGAAGATTTAGAGCCTAAGGCATATGGGGAAGGAAATGAATATAACAACTATAGAGTTAAAAAGTTTGGGAACTAGTGGGCTTGTTTTTCTCCAGAGTGGCAGGCCTGCAGCCAAAGCAGACAGTGTAAGACATTTCTTTGTTCCTTCCTTTTTCTTTCTCCCTCTCTCTCTTTTTCTCCCTTTGGATTTTTTGTAAGACATGCATGTAAAAATAAGGAAAGTATTTAATAAACCTCTCTGAAAACTACATTTTAAAATTCTAAAGGCACGTTGTTATTTTCTTTCACCAAACTCAAGAGATGACCATAGGCTTAAGGAAAAATACACAGCGGAGGAGAAGATAAATAGCCATCAGTCATCCACTCAGCAGCCAGGAATTTACATTGAAATGAAAGCAGAAATGCTGCTGTTAAAATCAGGAAACAGAGTTTAGGGAAACACCATAGGGAAAGACACCTCACAGCAAAAAAGGCTGTGCATTTGCAACCAAATGAGCATCTGAACTCATGGAATTGCATAATACAACAACTGTATTAGGAGCCTGCAGAGTATATACTTGCACACACCAGAAGCAATCCAGGCACAACCAACTGTAATAGTTCAGAGTCATGACTTGGAATCAATAACAGTCCTAGGGAGACACTGGATTCTACATCTCCCAAGCCTTCACTCTCCTCATTGTAAATAATTTACAACTCCTATACAGAATAAATACTTCAAGACATTTCTTTAAAAATACAAGGACATAAAATGAGTGTCATTCAAAATGCAGAAACAATCCACTAGACAAGGGAAAATGAGGTATCAGGTCTGGTTCCCATTAAAAACTAGAAAACCTTTTAATTGTTCTGGCTAATTTTTAATAGGACACTGAGTCCTATTCATTTCCTAGGCTTTTTTACCGTTAATGATCCAAAAAACTAATTCCTAGCCAGGAGTTTAGGAGCCTGCTAATGACCTTTACTGTTTATGTGTGGTTAGCTTTTCACACACTTGTGGCCCTCCTCTGACTGAAGATTTCTTGTTCCTTGCTGAATTCCTCCGTGACAGGAGTCTATAGAGAAAACCTTACTGCATGTGGTAGGAATGCAAACTTGTAGTTCACTGTGGACAGCCCTGCTGTGACTACAAGTTTTCAAGTTCAAATCTTTAGGCTTTCTTTCTGTATCCATACAGAAACAAAAACAGACTAAACTGAAAGCCTTTATCAGATTTTACCATAGGGAGAAAGCTAACATGTCAGGATTATTTCTAATTATAGTAAATAATCAAAAAATGACAGACAGTAAATGAGTAAGCACTACAAAGTCAGGATATTTAAGGACTCATGTAGCTGGCACATATATAAACATGGAAATTTTGTTCCAGCCTGAAAGTGCTGCAATCAAAAGTTCTCATGATACTTTGTTTGAAATAATTTACTTTGATGCTTATTTTGCTGACGTTTTTACTGGTGTGTGAGACTGCAACAGTCAATTCTAAGGTGACTGGTTTCTTCCTGATAAAACTGCTCCATTTTTAGAGAATACTGATCTATTGAGACAAAGTTCAGATTTTTGACAGATCTGCCCAGGGAAGTTTTGTAAGTTTTAGTTATTCAGTAACTTATTGACAGTTTCTCAAACAGCTCCATTCTGCTTTGAAAAGGCAATCCTTGCCTTCTGTCTCCACATCACTCGACTCAATGTGCACTATCAACTCCAAGGTCTCACCTTTCTGCATCACACTCAAACATCATGTACTTATCTATGAACAGCACTGGTCAGTGCAACTGTGAAATATTATTAATATGCTGCATACAAACCATACACATCATGTCATTGTGGAAGAGCTTCTTACAATTTCCAGAAGTGCTGAAAGCCCGAAGTTCTTTTGCACCACAGAAGTCAGTCTGGTGTCCATAATTTGTAAACTGATTTAAATTAATGTAATATGTCCATTGTGAATTAACCCCAGCAGGTAGCTAAGCACCACAGATGCTTTCTTACTCCTTACCCCCTCACCCCAGTGGGGAAGGGTAAGAGGAAAGAAAGAGCAAAAAGAGGTAAAGGGAAACGGGAAAAGGGAAAAGGAAATAAAACTTGTGTATCGAGATAAAAATTGTTTAATAAGCAAAGAGAGAGAAAGATAACAAAACAAGCAAAGCAAAGAATCATTCAGCATCTCTCATGGGTAGACCAACACCCAGCCAGTTCTGAGCAAAAAACGTTTAACTTGCAGAACCCTCTTTCCCCTTTTTAGTACTGTGCACAGGGCTATATGCATTGGC